GGCTGGCAGCCCCACCCCTATGAAACCACCCAAATTCTACATGATGCTAAAAGTGGCGGAGCCCCACCACGCTATTAGCCACCCTACAGATGCACATGAGCTACAAGTAGGCTGGCACCCCACCCGCTATGTGGGGCCACTACTGATGCTACAAGTAAAGGTGGCAGCCCACCACCTATGTGACCATCCACAAATCACATGAGCACAATGGGCTGGCAGCCCCCCACGGCCCCCAAGGGTGGGGGCGCCCACCGCTATGTAGACCATCCTACATAGTACATGTGCAAAAAGTAGGCGGGCAGCCCCACCACCAAATGTGCCCATCCTACATAGCTACAGATGCCAAGTAGGCTGGCAGCCCCAACGCTTGTGGCCAAACATGATGCAAAATGAGCTCAAGTAGGCGGCAGCCCCCACCGCTATGAGACCCCCTCAAAAATGCTAAAAGTAGGTGGCAGCCCCACCACGCATGTAGACCCCTACAAGCACTTTGTGCTACAATAGGCTGGCAGCCCCCCCACGCTATGTAGATTACATTTCACATGATGCTAAAAGTAGGGGGGCGCCCCACACGCTATGAGACCATCCACATTGCAAGATGCAAAAACCCCCCCCCCATAAAATCCTACATAATCTACATTGTAAAATCGGCCCCCCATCCGCTTTAACCATCTACATGTGTACATATGTACATCCCCCCCCACATTGTAAAAAACCACATATGCTACATATGCACAATTTCTCAGCCCCCCCATTGGGGCCATTACATATGCTACATATGCACAAGAGGGGGTCCCCCCCATTAACCAATCCTACATGATGCAAAATATACCCCACCAGCATGGGCCCTTACATGATGCTACATGAGCTACATGTTCGACCATGTAACCATCTACATTGCTACTGATGTAAAAATATGCACCCCCCCCAATTTTAACCATCCTAATAGCTACATATCTAAAATCGGCGACAGATGAAAACCCCTACTTTAAACAGTTAAAATCTAGCCCCCCCACCCATTATCCTTTACATGTTACTTTTATGCTAAAAATAGGGGGCACCCCCTCCATGTAAACCCATCCACATGAGGCTAAAATACCACCCCCCCCGGTTTTAAAACCATCCTAAAAGGCTACATCACTATTTCACCCCACATAGAAACATCCTAAAATTTCATGTTAAATAGGCTCCCCCCACATAGTGGGCCATCACATTGCTACATAGTCCCAATTTTCGGGCCCCCCAAAGGGCCCCAACAATATGTAAAATAGGGGGCCCCCCACAGATGTAAACACCCACTACAATATGCAATAGGGGGGCGAAACCCTTGTTAAAAATATGCTACAGGGGAATCTAAAAAGCTATGAAAAAACTACTATGCAATATGCTAATAGGCCCCCAAAATGTGCCATCCCTTACATATGAAAAGGGGGGGGGGGGGGGGGGGTTTTGTAGAGCTGCACGCATCACCATGTACCCATTACATATGTACATATGCACTTAGCTAAATCACACATGTAAATCTACATGTGCTACATGGGGCTTTGCCCCCACACGCTATGTACATCCTACTAGTACATGAACTCAGTTACACAGCCTAGTAAATCTACATATGCTACTTTTGAGTAAAAGCCCACACCAACATCCTCATATGAACATATGAAACAGAGTACTATGCCTTTAATCAGCTACAAGTACATATGCACTATGTACATCATCTAACAGTTACATCATGCTACATACCTACATCAAACCCTAACATATGCATATGCTACTTCATGTTTACAATCATGCTACTTCATGCTACATTTTGTTCATAGCACATATGCACATATCCTACATACTAACTGCTAAAAATTTCACATGATCTAATCATGTACATCAGCAAAAACATCTACTCATGCTACTAATGAAATCATGCTACTATGTACATAGTTAAATATTTAATCATCTACAATGTACAAAGTACATTGCTACATCAGACTTCTACACAGCACCCGACATACTACATACTCTATGCACATAATTTACAATCAACTAGCTACATATGCCCATCACGTACATATGCTACATCATGCTACATTGGCTACAATCACACATCTACATATGCACATAGTTATAATCCAACTTTAATATTTTTTTTTTTTTTTTTAATTATTAATTTTATAAATAAGAATAAGAATATTATTAGGGGAATGATTTTATTTTTTTTAAATATTTAATGTTATGAAATTGAAAATATTAAATTTTATTAAATTATTATTTTATTATTTTAAATTTTAAAATTTTAATATTAATTTTAAATTTTAAAATTATAGTTTTAAATTTTATTAATTGTTTAAAATTATATTTTAAATTTTTAAAGATGTTGTAAAATTAAATTTTTTGGAATATTAAATATGAAATATGTTTTTAAAATTTTAAAATTTAAATTATTTAATTTATTATATTAATATTTAAATATTAATAATATTTTTTTATTTTTATTTTTAAATTTTATTTTTATTATTATTTTTAAAATTTTTATTATTATTAAATTAATTTTAAAATTATTATTATGTTATTTTTTATTTTTAATTATATTTAATATTTATTATTATTATATTTTTAAATTGTTATTATTTTTAAATTTATTATTTTTAAATTTTTATTATTAGTTATTTTTATTTATAAAATAATATTATTTTATATTTAATTTATTAATTTTTAAATTTATTATTTTTTTAATTAATTATTATTTATTATTATGTTATTTATTAATTTAATTATATATTATTGTTTTTAAATTTATTTAATTATAAATTATTATTATTATTATTTTATTATTATTATTATTATTATTTTTATTAATATTATTTTTTAAATATTTTATTATTATTATTAATATTATTTTTATTATTTTATTATTATTATTATTATTTTTTTATATTTTTATTAATTATTATTTTTATTTTTATTTTTAAATTTTATTTTATTATTATTTTTTTTTAAATTATTATTTTTATTATTATTATTATTTTTTTTAAATTATTATTATATTATTATTTTTTTTTAAATTTATTATTATTATTATTATTATTTTATTGTTATTTTTTATTATTATTTTTATTTTTATTATTATTAAATATTTTATTATTATTATTATTATTATTTTTATTATTATTTTTTATTATTTTTTTATTTTTGTTTTTAATATTATTTTTTATTATTATTATTTTTATTATAATTTATTATTATTATTTTATTATTTTAAAATATATTTTTTTATTATTATTTTTTTTATTTTTTTTTTATTTTTATTTTTAAATTATTAATTATTATTTTTTTTTTTATTAAATTTTTTATTATTTATAATTTTTTTATTTTTATTTTTTTTTATTATTTTAAAATTTTTTATTATTAAAATTTTATATTTAATTTTATTATTTTTTTTATTATTATATTATTATTATTTTATTATTATTTTAAAAATTTATTATTATTATTTTTTTATTGTTAAAATTTTTTAATTATTATTATATTTTTTTTTTATTTTTTTAATTATTATTTTTTATAATATTTTATTTATTATTAATTATTATTTTAAATTTATTATTATTTTATTATTAAATTTTATTTTTTTATTTTTTTATTTATTTTATTATTTTAAATTTTTATTATATTAATTATTTTTTTTATTATTAAATTATTATTTTTATTATTTTTTTTTTTTATTTTTTTTTTTAATTTTTTATTATTTTTTTTTTTATTTTGTTATTATTTTATTATTATATTATTATTATTATTATAATTAAAATTAGATTATTTTATTATAATTTATTTAATTATTATTATTATTATTTTTTTTTTATTAGTTTTATTATTTTTTTTTTATATTAATTATTTTTTATTATTTTTTTTTTTATTATTATTATTATTATTTATTATTATTTTTTTATTATTATTATATTTTATTTTTAGTTTTTATTATTTATTTTTATTTTAAATTTTTATTATTATTATTTTTAAGTTTTATTATTATTATATTATTATTTTATTTTATTATTATTTTTATTAATTAGTTTTTTATTTTATTTTATTATTTTTATTATTTTTTAAATTTTTTATTTTATTTTTTTTAATTATTTTTTATTTTTATTATTTTTAAATTATTTTTTATTATTTTTAATTTTTTATTTATTTTTATATTATTATTTTTTATTATTATTTTTTTAAATTATTATTATTTTTATTAATTATTAATTATTATTAATTGGGATAATAATAAATTATTTGTTTTAATAAATTTATTCAATCAAAAAATTTCTCTTACATTGTATTATACGTATTTATAGTATTATACTGTTTTATACTGTTTTATGTATTATATGTTTTAAAAATTGTATTTAATTGTATGTATCTACAGACCCCTTTTTACACGTTAATTTTGATTTCATTGTATTCACTGATTTCATTGTATTCTACTGTTTTTCATTGCATTCTAGTGAAATTTCACGATTCTACTGTTTTCTTTGTATTCACTGTTTTTCACGATTCTACTGTTTTTCATTGTTTTCTACTGTTTTTTCACTGTTTTCTACTGTATTTCACTGTATTCTACTGTATTTCATTGTATTCTTGTGTATTTCATTGCATTCTACTGTATTTCATTGTATTCTACTGTATTTCATTGTATTCTACTGTATTTCACTGTATTCTACTGTATTTCACTGTATTCTACTGTATTTCACTGTATTCTACTGTATTTCACTGTATTCTACTGTATATCATTGTATTCTAGTGTATTTCATTGTATGCTACTGTATTTCATTGTATTCTAGTGTATTTCATTGTATTCTAGTGTATTTCATTGTATTCTACTGTATTTCATTGTATTCTAGTGTATTTCATTGTATTCTAGTGTATTTCATTGTATTCTAGTGTATTTAATTGTATTCTAGTGTATTTTATTGTATTCTACTGTATTTCACTGTATTCTACTGTATTTCACTGTATTCTACTGTATTTCATTGTATACTAGTGTATTTAATTGTATTCTAGTGTATTTAATTGTATTCTACTGTATTTCATTGTATTCTACTGTATTTCATTGTATTCTAGTGTATTTCATTGTATTCTAGTGTATTTCATTGTATTCTATTGTATTTTACTGTATTATTTTGAATTTAATTATTATATTGTATTTTATTGTATTCTCAAGGGTCATCAAAGTCTAAAAAATCTATCGTACTTCGTAAAATAGATTCCGATAGATTTTGTTGCAATGTCTATTTCAACTATCTATCGGGGGTGCACCTGGGAGAGCTAAACCCGCAGCGTGGGTTAATAAATTACCATAAGAATAATACAGTAGGTGTATTACTAACTTCCTGTTGTTAGTCTATTGTAGCATACATCTACTGTATTCTGACCTGCTCTGGAATACATCTACTGTATTCTGACCTACTCTGGAATACATCTATTGTATTCTGACCTGCTCTGGGATACATCTACTGTATTCTGACCTGCTCTGGAATACATTTACTGTATTCTGACCTGCTCTGGGATACATCTACTGTATTCTGACCTGCTCTGGAATACATCTACTGTATTCTGACCTGCTCTGGAATACTTTCTACTGTATTCTGACCTGCTCGGGAAATACATCTACTGTATTCTGACCTGCTCTGAGATACATCTACTGTATTCTGACCTGCTCTGGAATACATCTACTGTATTCTGACCTGCTCTGGGATACATCTACTGTATTCTGACCTGCTCTGGGATACATCTACTGTATTCTGACCTGCTCTGGAATACATCTACTGTATTCTGACCTGCTCTGGGATACATCTACTGTATTCTGACCTACTCTGGAATACATCTACTGTATTCTGACCTACTCTGGAATACATCTACTGTATTCTGACCTGCTCTGGAATACATCTACTGTATTCTGACCTGCTCTGGAATACATCTACTGTATTCTGACCTGCTGTAGGATACATATATAATATATATTATATATATATATATATTATATATATATATATATATATATATATATATATATATATATATATATATATATATATATATATATATTGACTAGCATGAATAAATGGTTTTAAAACACTTTAAAAAATTCATTATATATTATTAATGGGTCTAGAGACCATTTACCAAATTGGTAATGACCTCCAGACCATTTACCTACTTATTAATGGCCTCCAGATCATTTACTGACTTAGTAATGACCTCCAGACCATTTACTGACTTAGTAATGACCTCCAGACCATTTACTGACTTAGTAATGACCTCCAGACCATTTACTGACTTAGTAATGACCTCCAGACCATTTACTGACTTAGTAATGACCTCCAGACCATTTACCTACTTAGTAATGATCTCCAGACCATTTACTGACTTAGTAATGACCTCCAGACCATTTACTGACTTAGTAATGACCTCCAGACCATTTACTATCTCAGTAGTTGGTCTGCAGACCATTCTGACGGTCTCTGTTCAACTGCCTCTTCCTGATAGTGTCAGTTGGGGCATAATTGGTTTCCTGAGGAACTCCCGGAAATTTGTGGGACCATTTTGGTCTATATCCCCCCTTCAGGACTGTGGAGGGGGTTGGTGCTGGTCGGGGGCCGGGCCCCCGGGAGCTGGCCTTTGGGGGTTTGGGCCCCTGGCATCTGTCTGAGGTCTGATGCGGCGGTAGTTGGTGGTGGGGGTTACCCTTCCCTTTCCCCGGGGTAGTGATGTGGGGTTATTTGTAGGGGGATGTTGTAGGGGTTATTTGAGTGGGTTGTTGTAGTGGGTTGTTGTGGGTTTTTGTAGGGGGTTTGTTGTAGTGGGTTTTGTGGGGGTTATTTGTGGGTTTTTTGATGTGTTGTTGAGTTGTTGTTGTAGTGGGTTGTTGTAGGGGGGTTTTTGTGTGGGTTGTTGTAGGGGGGTTGTTTAGGGGTTGTTGTAGTGGGTTAGTTGTAGTGGGTTGTTGTAGTGGGTTAGTTGTGGGTTGTTGTAATGGGTTGTTGTAGTGGGTTAGTTGTGGGTTGTTGTAGTGGGTTAGTTTGGGCTTGTTGTAGTGGGTTAGTTGTGGGTTGTTGTAGTGGGTTAGTTGTGGGTTGTTGTAGTGGGTTAGTTATGGTTGTTGTAGTGGGTTAGTTGTGGGTTGTTGTAGTGGGTTGTTGTAGTGTGTTTTTGTAGTGGGTTAGTTGTAGGGGTGTTGTTGTAGTGGGTTGTTGTAGTGTGTTGTTGTAGTGGGTTAGTTGTAGGGGGTTTGGTTGTAGGGGTTAGTTGTAGTGGGTTGTTGTAGTGGGTTAGTTGTAGTGGGTTGTTGTAGTGGGTTAGTTGTAGTGGGTTGTTTTTGTGGGTTAGTTGTAGTGGGTTGTTGTAGGGGGTTTGTTGTAGTGGGTTGTTGTAGTGGGTTGTTGTAGTGGGTTAGTTGTTGGTTTTTTGTAGTGGGTTGTTGTAGTGGGTTAGTTGTAGGGGGTTTTGTTTTGTAGTGGGTTAGTTGTAGTGTGTTGTTGTGTGGGTTGTGTAGTGGGTTTGTTGTGTGGGTTGTTGTAGTGGGTTAGTTGTAGTGGGTTGTTGTAGTGGGTTAGTTGTGGGTTGTTTGTAGGGGGTTTAGTTGTAGTGGTTTGTTGTAGTGGGTTGTCGTAGGGGGTTAGTTGTAGTGGGTTTTTGGGTGTGGGTTAGTTGTAGTGGGTTGTTGTAGTGGGTTAGTTGTAGTGGGTTGTTGTACGGGTTAGTTGTAGTGGGATAGTTGTAGTGGGTTGTTGTGTGGGTTGTTGTATTTGGGTTAGTTGTAGTGGGTTGTTGTAGGGGTTGTTGTAGTGGGTTGGTTGTAGTGGGATAGTTGTAGTGGGTTGTTTTTGTGGGTTGTTGTAGTGGGTTAGTTGTAGTGGGTTGTTGTAGTGGGTTGTTGTAGTGGGTTAGTTTTTGTGGGATGTTGTAGTGGGTTGTTGTAGTGGGTTGTTGTAGTGGGTTAGTTGTAGTGGGTTGTTTAGTGGGTTGTTGTAGTGGGTTAGTTGTAGTGGGTTTAGTTGTAGTGGGTTGTTGTAGGGGGTTTTGTTGTAGTGGGTTAGTTGTAGTGGGTTGTTGTAGTGGGTTGTCGTAGTGGGTTAGTTGTAGTGGGTTGTTGTAGTGGGTTTTCGTAGTGGTTAGTTGTAGGGGGTTGTTGTAGTGGGTTGTTTTTAGTGGGTTGTTGTAGTGGGATAGTTGTAGTGGGTTGTTGTAGGGGTTGTTGTAGGGGGGTTAGTTGTAGTGGGAGTTGTAGTGGGTTGTTGTAGTGGGTTGTTGTGGGTTAGTTGTAGTGGGATGTTGTAGTGGGTTGTTGTAGTGGGTTTGGTTGTGTGGGTTGTTGTAGTGGGTTATTTTGTAGTGGGTTGTTGTAGTGGGTTGTCGTAGTGGGATAGTTGTAGTGGGTTGTTGTAGTGGGTTGTCGTAGTGGGTTAGTTTTTGTGGGTTGTTGTAGTGGGTAGTTGTAGTGGGTTGTTGTAGTGGGTTAGTTGTAGTGGGTTTGTTGTAGTGGGTTGTGTAGGGGGTTTTGTTGTAGTGGGTTAGTTGTAGTGGGTTGTTGTAGTGGGTTGCCGTAGTGGGTTGTTGTAGTGGGTTTAGTTGTGTGGGTTGTTGGTAGTGGGTTGTTGTAGTGGGTTAGTTGTAGTGGGTTTTGTGTTAGTGGGTTGTTGTAGTGGGTTTGTTATGGCTTGTTGTAGTGGGTTAGTTGTGGGTTGTTGTAGTTGGGTTAGTTATGGTTGTTGTAGTGGGTTGTTATGGCTTGTTGTAGTGGGTTAGTTTTTGTGGGTTGTTGTAGTGGGTTAGTTGTAGTGGGTTGTTGTAGTGGGTTAGTTATGGCTTGTTGTAGTGGGTTAGTTTTTGGGTTGTTGTAGTGGGTTATTTTATGGGCTTGTTGTAGTGGGTTAGTTATGGCTTGTTGTAGTGGGTTAGTTGTAGTGGGTTGTTGTAGGGGTTTTGTAGTGGGTTGTTGTAGTGGGTTGTCGTAGTGGGTTGTTGTAGTGGGTTAGTTGTAGTGGGTTGTTGTAGTGGGTTGTTGTAGTGGGTTGTTGTAGTGGGTTGTTTTTGTGGGTAGTTGTAGTGGGTTGTTGTAGTGGGTTGTTGTGTGGGTTGTTGTAGTGGGTTAGTTGTGGGTTGTTGTAGTGGGTTGTCGTAGTGGGTTGTTGTAGTGGGTTAGTTGTTGGGTTGTTGTATGGGTTGTTGTAGTGGGTTTAGTTGTGGGTTGTTGTAGTGGGTTAGTTGGGGTTGTTGTAGGGGGTTTTGTTGTAGTGTGTTGTTGTTGTGGGTTAGTTGTGTGGTTGTTGTAATGGGTTGTTGTATTTGGGTTAGTTGTGGGTTGTTGTAGTGGGTTAGTTATGGCTTGTTGTAGTGGGGTTGTATTTGTGGGTTTTGTAGTGGGTTAGTTGTAGTGGGTTGTTGTAGTGGGTTTTTTTAGGGGGTTGTTGTAGTGGGTTAGTTGTAGTGGGTTTTTTGTAGTGGGTTGTTGTAGTGGGTTGTTGTAGTGGGTTAGTTGTAGTGGGTTGTTTTTAGTGGGTTGTTGTAGTGGGTTAGTTTGTGGGTTGTTGTAGGGGGTTGTTGTAGTGGGTTAGTTTGTGTGGGTTGTTGAGTGGGAGTTAATGTGTGTGTGTTGTAGGGGTGGTCGTAGGGGGTTGTTGTAGGGGGTTTGTAGTGGGATGTTGTAGTGGGTTGTTGTAGTGGGTTGGGTTGTGGGTTGTTGTAGTGGGTTAGTTGTAGTGGGTTGTTGTAGTGGGTTTGTCGTAGTGGGGGGTGTTGTAGTGGGTTGTTGTAGTGGGTAGTTGTAGTGGGTTGTTGTAGTGGGTTAGTTGTGTGGGTTGTTGTTGTGGTGGGTAGTGTGTGGGTTGTTTGTAGTGGGTTAGTTGTAGTGGGTTGTTGTAGTGGGTAGTTGTGGGGGGGTAGTTGGTAGTGGGTTGTTGTAGTGGGTTGTTGTAGGGGGTTAGTTGTAGTGGGTTAGGTAGTGGGTTGTTGTAGTGGGTTGTTGTAGGGGTTAGTTGTAGTGGGATAGTTGTAGTGGGTTGTTGTAGTGGGTTGTTGTGTGGGTTGTCGTGTGGGTTAGTTGTAGTGGGTGTTGTTAGTGGGTTGGTAGTGGGTTATTTGTGGGGGTATTTGTAGTGGGTTGTTGTGGGGGGGTTTTTGTAGTGGGTTAGTTGTAGGGGATAGTTGTGTGGGTTTTTGGGTAGTGGGTTGTTGTAGTGGGTTAGTTGTGGGGGGGGTTTGTTGTAGTGGGTTGTCGTAGTGGGATAGTTGTAGTGGGTTGTTGTAGGGGGTTGTCTTTAGTGGGTTAGTTGTAGTGGGTTGTTGTAGTGGGATAGTTGTAGTGGGTTGTTGTAGTGGGTCAGTTGTAGTGGGTTTGTTGTAGGGGTTAGTTGTAGGGGGGTTGTTGTAGTGGGTTGTCGAAAGTGGGTTGTTGTAGTGGGTTAGTGTAGTGGGTTGTTGTAGTGGGTTGTTGTAGTGGGTTAGTTTTTGGGGGTTGTTGTAGTGGGTTGTTGTAGTGGGTTAGTTATGGCTTGTTGTAGTGGGTTAGTTGTGGGTTGTTGTAGTGGGTTAGTTATGGCTTGTTGTAGTGGGTTAGTTATGGTTTGTTGTAGTGGGTTAGTTGTAGTGGGTTAGTTGTAGTGGGTTTAGTTGTAGTGGGTTGTTTAGTGGGTTAGTTATGGCTTGTTGTAGTAGGTTAGTTGTGGGTTGTTGTAGTGGGTTAGTTGTAGTGGGTTAGTTGTAGTGGGTTTTAGTTGTAGTGGGGTTGTTTGTAGTGGGTTGTCGTAGTGGGTTTTGTTGTAGTGGGTTAGTTGTAGTGGGTTGTTGTATTTGGGTTGTTGTAGTGGGTTAGTTGTAGGGGTTGTTGTAGTGGGTTAGTTGAGTGGGTTTGTTGTAGTGGGTTAGTTATGACTTGTTGTAGTAGGTTAGTTGTGGGTTGTTGTAGTGGGTTAGTTATGGCTTGTTGTAGTGGGTTAGTTGTAGTGGGTT